TTTGCACATTAGCTACAGTGATATGGCCATGACAACTTAGGTCACAGGCATATTCAGTGTTTCCCATACATTGATTTATTTGTGGTAAATATCGTCCGCCACAAATGGATCTCATAAAAGATATTAAAAATAATGTGGTGTAATGGATAGTGAGGTGGGCTGATGATCGGAACGTTGCGAGTTCAAATCCCGCCTGGAACACCACTACTAGTGTGCCCTTGAGTAGAGCACTTAGCCCTCAGTTACTCCAGGGAGAATGTCCCTGTAATTGGTCATTGTAAGTCGCTTTGGAATAAGGCGTCTGCTAAATGGCTAAATTGTATTTTTGTGAGAATAAACCCCACAGATCCTCAACTCCGGTGTGTCTCACTCATTAACAACGCAACACAGAGCAACAATAACGTTGTCTACAGTAGCCATGAACTCGCATGTAATTTCTTATTTGAGAGGGGGGTGGATGCGTGGGCCACCCGAATAGGTTAAGGGGCCTTTGGCTTGTCTTGCCGTGGGGGGGTGCGGTGCCCCCACAAATAGAATCAAATTCTGTGGGAAACACTGATATTAGTATTGATGTAATTGTTTATTGACAGGCAGTACGAAGAATGTGTTAACGTGGAATCAGAGTTGGTTCTTTGGTGCAAGATAAAAGCAAGTCCTGCAACAGAAAGTTAAGAGACATTTTGAAATATATTATGTCAAATATGCGTTTTGGAAACTAAACAAGCTGTAGCAGTCTGTGCAGGAAATATTTGTCATTCCTGCACATTATTGAGTTGAGATATAGCTTCACAACGACACTAAAAGTAAACTGACTGCAGACCAGCCGCTGAGCTCCTTGCTAAATGGATTATAATTTGATAATGAGCAGGAGGCTCCGGATTAAAACCCTGAGTGGAAACTCTGAATTTAGACTGGGAGGTGAACCGAGCTCCATGTGCTTTAACTCTCGCCTCATCTGGTGTAGGGAAGACTGTGTGGTTTTAAACATTGAGGTTGATTTTGTGCTTCATGTGACGGGTGTGATGAGCTGCCGCTGCTGCTGGGAGATTTTAAGGGACTTGAGGAAGAGCAGAAGGATGATCCTGACGCGGGATGTCGCAAGAACCTGTATTTTATTACCGAGTCTTTGCCAACAATTATGAAGAAGTGACATTTCTCTGTACTGTAGCAGTGTGGGTCTAATTGTACAGGGATGATAGAAAATGTGTGTTAACTTGCTATTCGTGCATCTAGGGGCAGCCGTCTTTTTTCCTCATTAAGCTAAATTGTGAGCTGTTAGCAGTCAGAGAATAGAGGAACCATATTTGTATAGGCCAAACAGGAAGTTAGCGTCATAATTGCTCCATGTACAAGAAGGGATTTGCCATTGGATTTCGGAATATTGCAACTCTGTGACAAACATACGTTGAGGATACTTCCTTGTTGTGCTCAGCAGGATAATCACCACCTTTTATGATTGTCATAGTAATATTAAAAAGCTAACGTTAGCTTATAAAGGAATTATAGCACGGTCACATGACTTCACGTCGCCACCGCTAAGCTAAAGACGGCTAATGTTGGGCGTGATGACGTTTAGTCGACTCATTTAGACACTTGTTAGCCACCACCGTTTTAATAACACGTTGAAGCTTCAGACGTTCACCAGTGGGGTGTTTACTCACGTATCTTATGTTGTCGAACAAATTGTGAAAATCTTAAGTTAACAACAGACCTCATTTCAAACTTCTAGCTCGTCAAAGAAACTCTGACTTTGTTTTTTACTCTGTTCTTATTTTTACAATTACACACAAAGGCCCAAAATACACACACACACACACACACACGCATACACACACACACACACACACACACACACACACACACACACACACACACACACACACACACACACACACACACACACACACACACACACACACACACACACACACACACACACACACACACCTTATAGACACACACTCATGAGGAGGTGGCACAGCTAAGGAGACATCCTTTCTCCTGAACCAGCGTGTGTGTTGCCCATTTAACTGTTTGTTTTATATTTATCTCCAAACTGTTTCACTTTCTTTGTCTCGCCTTGTTTCCGAGGAAAACGTCAGTTAACAATTAAAGCTCCGCCCTGGAGAAAACTGAGACTCAGAGGCTGAAAATGTGATGAAACAACCCCCGTGATTATCGCTCATTGTGGCTAATTAGATGCACTTTAGGCCAATTACCTGCTATCAGATCACAGGCAACGCGCTGCAGTTTTGGCAGAGGGATGATGGTTAGGGTGGAGGAAAGAAGACTTCAAAGACTTTCCCTCCTCACCACAAACTGAGTGCTGGATGTTCCGGTGTCGGCTTGAGGCTGTTTAAACTGGCTTACTTAAAATCAAAAAGCTTCTTGTAAAAGAGGAGGTGATGAATGGTGGAGGAATCCCTCTGTGTGCCGATTATATCTCGGCTATATGTCGGCTTGGCTACAGTGAAAACAAAACATTATGATTATTGTACAAACTCTGGTTTCACTTCGTCAACTCAGCCTGTCGTTACTTCAGACCTGTTATGTAATCAAAGCATTAACTGAAGTAAAAATCCTGCTTTAAAACACTTTTTTTAGTTAGTTTTGATGTTATGTTTTTCTTTTGGTATTTAGTTGGGCTTTTTCTGCACTCATTTTATTGTTTTCTACCATTTTTTTTATCAACCTCAGCACTCATTCATTACATTCGTTATCATTATTAACTGTACGTTGGCTCATCCTTGCATTTTAGGTAATTAAAAAGTGTGCCAGAAATGTTTGACATTCTTGCAATTAAGACACTTTTGAAATTAAGATTAATTTAATGACATACGTTGCATTTAGCTGACGCTTTTATCCAAAGATACTTACAATAAGTGCAATAAACCATAACAATTCAAACTAAGGACAACAATAACAGTGCTGACATATTTACTTCAAACAAGCAATATCGATGGTGAATAAGTAAAACTCTAAAGTTCGGTTTTTTGTATTATTCTGCAAGGTTTAAGCGAAACAGGTGTGTCTTCAGTTTGCGACGGTAGATATGTAGACTCTCAGCTGTCCTGATATCAGTGGGAAGCTCCTTCCACCATTTGGGAGCCACGATAGCAAAAAGGCGGGCTTTATTGAGGTGTACCTGGTTTAAAATCCTAACAAACAACACACAGTGAGTTTTAAAAGAGTGAGAATGAGACAAATATAATCCTCAATATCCCCAGAGGTCCAGTCGTCTGAATTCCCTCAAAGTTGGATTGGAGGCCATCCTGGAACCAATTTAAATTAATTGAACAAGTCTTTATTGTTTTTCGTTTAGTCAAGATTAAGGCTGTAAATAAATGGACTGAATTATTCTTCAGGCCTGGACCGTTTGACAATTTAAGGGACATTTTAAATTTGAAGTGCACGATATTTGAGAACAATTTCTGAAATGTAAAAAGTTTCTCAAAATGAAAGTCATGAGCAGCTTCCCTTATACTTTCTGTTCATAAGTTATTCCTCAAAGATGTAGTTGGCCAGTCGCTTTTGGAAGCTCTTCTCTGTTCTTTGGTCAACAATTTGGTTTAAAAACAAGAGAAAATAAATGCGACAAGTACTCTTAAAAAAAAAAAATAACAAACTACAAGCCTCTTTTAAATAAAGTGGTTCCCGCATTAGGCCACATCCAAAAGGTAGGACATGAAAACTCATCTTGGAGCATCTCCACTTATACTTCTTGTTCTTAAGTTATCTCTTAGATATTTGGTTGCCCGTGTGTCCGCCATGTGGCCTGTTTTCTTCTGGATGCTTCCCTCTGTTCTTTGTCCAATCATTTAAAACAAGAGACAATTGCGACAACTACTCTCAAAACACTACAAGTCTCTTTTTAAATAAAGTGTTTCCCGCATTAGGCCACATTTTTCCATCCAAAATGTCGGAAGTCTCCCAAAGTGAAAACTCATCTTGGAGCATCTCCCCCTTATACTTCCTGTTCTTAAGTTATTTTTTAAATATTTGGTCGCACGTGTGTCCGCCATGTGGCCTGTTTTCTTCTGGATGCTCCCCTCTGTTCTTTGGGTTTTATGGCTCTGAACTTTAGCAGCGCTGCGTGTTACATCAGAGTGGAAATAGCTCCTGAAAGGGTTTCTATCTGGGTCAGGGACGGGCAGCGGAGGATCTGCAGCAGCTGCTTTCAGTCGGTTTCAGATGAAGAAACTCTCGCTGCTGTCAGCTGTTGCACTTAAACATTATTTATTGTTCACAGCTTTACATGAACTTTAGCTGATACCAGAACTGAAAGATGTCTTCCAAGGCCTTTTAATGTTCAAATGTTTGGGCTGTTGTAGCGCTTTTGCACCTGTCAGCCACCGTACGTAACCAATGCCCCACTTTACACTAATTAAGTGTAATTCATTAAATTAAATCGTCTAATATAGTGCAATAAAAAAGCCATCGTTAATTTCTTTGGCCACGATAAATGAGCTGTGAAAGTCAAATACAAGGACAGTCCTACTCGCGAGCGTTAAAAGATATACAGTCTAAACACACACAGAAAACATAACATTTGAAAGCCACGCACGCACGCACGCACGCACGCACGCACGCACGCACGCACGAACGCACGCACGCACGCACGCACACACACACACACAAAAACAGACTCTAGGGACGATGCTGTGCAGCCATAGGTCTGTTCTGAAACAAGCCTGAACGACCCCCCCCAACACACACACACACACACACGCACGCACGCACGCACGCACAAACACACACACACACTAATTAACAGGGCTCTCTCCACTTGGCTTCCCTCTCTAATTGGCTCACCATTTCTTCCCATTAATTATGCTCCATTTCATATCCCCTTAATGAGTCTAACCCCGCCTCCCTTCTTTAACGCTAATTAGCAGCTTTGAGGCTCTCACTCTTTGAGGAGGAAGAAGAAGATGAAGAGGAAGAAGAAGCCCTGTGATGTTTTACAGTGTGTTTTACGTCTGTGTTTTGTCCCTCTGCAGCACCCTTACCCGTCGGAGGAGCAGAAGAAGCAGCTGGCTCTGGACACCGGCCTCACCAACCTGCAGGTCAACAACTGGTGAGTTTTTGTCAACAACACACTCTTCCCCCCTACACACACACACGCACACGCGCGCGCACACGCACACGCACACACGCACGCGCGCACACACACGCACACGCACACGCACGCACACAGACACGCACACACGCACACACACACAGACACACACTCCAGAGGCAGCAGCATAATGATTTGAGTTCATTCCTGTGGGGTTGCCTTGTCTCCAAATATCCCCCAATTACAGTTTCAGAGGGGGAGGCGGTTAATTGGAGAGTTAATTGGAGCTTGGAGAGGGGAGGTAGAGACCTGTAGGAGGTTTGTTGGTGTTTTCTGTTTACTGATACACAAATGAAGACGTTGCTAAGTTTCACTGTTGGGGATTTAACCATAACACAGTGTAAGCATACAGTTCAATTCCCCTTTACATACACGGTTTATTTAGTACGTTTTTGCCTATTTTTGTAATATCTCTAGCCCGTATTCTAGTTTTTTTCCTACACTTTCTTACCCAAACAGTGGTGGATTGTAACTTAGTACATGTGCTCAAGTCAGTACTCAAGTATAAATTAAATTGAGTTGTACTTTACTTGAGTATTATATCCACTACATTTGTCTGACTCGATGTAGAAGCGATGACAATCCCACATTGTTGCTTGGATCAAATAAGTCCCTTAAAATGCAGATGTTATAGTTGCTTCTAATCATCTGGTCAGTCTTAGAGAATAAACAGAAAAGCAAAGTTTAGTTGTAAGTGTCAAATATGAATTCAGACTCTGATGGGACACAATCCTAAAGTGATAAACTCAAGTTGTTTTCTTAATCCTCTGAAGCCGTTATGTCAGTCAGTCTCACTCCCTCCTTTTGTTGTTGTTGTTGTTGTTGTTGTTGTTGTTGTTGTTGAGCCTCTGGAGCTGTGTGCAGTGTTTTCCTGATGCTGCAGAATCAGAAGGAGACACCGTCATGTCCTTTATAATGTATGTCTCCTCTCCTTAAGGGTTCATTTGCTTGACTTTAGTTCCTGTTCTACAGTCTTCTTGTTTCCTTACTTCTCCTGTCGTTTCCTTCTTTCCTCTCCTCTTCTTGTTTCCTTACTTCTCCTGTTATTTCCTTCTTTCCTCTCCTCTTCTTGTTTCCTTACTTCTCCTGTCGTTTCCTTCTTTCCTCTCCTCTTCTTGTTTCCTTACTTCTCCTGTCGTTTCCTTCTTTCCTCTCCTCTTCTTGTTTCCTTACTTCTCTTGTCGTTTTCTTTTATCCTCTCCTTTCTTGTTTCCTTACTTCTCTTGTCGTTTCCTTTTATCCTCTCCTTTCTTGTTTCCTCATTTCACCTGAGATGTCTTTTTCTTCCTCTCCTATTTTGTTTCCTTTCCTCTCTTATTTCCTCACATTTCCCGACGTGTCCTTTCTTCCTCTCCTCTCCTGTTTCCTCACCTCACCTGTTGTGTCCTTGCTCCATCTCATCTCTCATATCCTATTATCTCCTTCTTTATATCTTCTCTGCATCGCTTCCTCTTCTTGTGTTGCTTTACCCTCCCGTCCTCTTCATCACAAATGTTCTATAACCTCTTTTACTCTTCCTCGTCTTTGTATCCAAACACATCAAACAGATTTTTTGCGGTTTACAATCATCACAAAAAACAAAAACACACATGTTCATTTCATCATCTTATTATTATTTATTGTAATTATTGGTCAAACTGTCCGATCAGCTTTCGCGTTGCTTTACTTCTTATTTTAAGTATTTGCTGGTTAATGAGACGGAGGTGTGTGTGTAGTGGAGGTGTGTGTGTAGTGGAGGTGTGTGTGTAGTGGAGGTGTGTGTGTAACGGAGGTGTGTGTGTAGTGGAGGCCGTTGGTGTAAATGGCATTTTCATGGCAAACAGCTGGATTGGTTTATTTAAACACACGTTGTTGAGGGTGAGGAGGGTGGGGGTGGGTGGGGGGGGGTGGGGGGGTGTACTGACCTGAGAATGACACCGAGGTGGGCGGGGCTTACTGACTGTTTTACAAGCAGTGTGTTGAAGTGTGTGTGTGTGTGTGTTTGGTGATTGTGGTTGTGTAGCTGCTTTGTTTAAAACCTCAGTGGAGGCGTCCGACTGTACAGAAAGGAGAAAACACCCCCCAAACTCTTCCTCCTCCTCCTCATCCTCAAAAACTGGTGGAGGGCTGGAGGCGGCAGGCGCAGAAATTCACTTCTGTTTTTTTTATGTAAAAATACTAGATGTGAGGTTGTTGTTTTGCAGCCACTGACACCAACCAGTGAAAGCAACTCATTTTCATCTTTAAAACAATTTTTTTTCAGCAGCCAAAAACAGACAAGTCCAAGGATCTGTTTTTACTTTCTCCTCTTGTTCCACTTTCTGTTATTTCTTTTTGAGCAACAGCTGTAGATCTAAATCAGGCACCAGACTGAAAACACTATTTTGGAGAAAAGTAAGATTTGATTCAAACAGTTTGCCCCCATGAAAATACATGATCCAATAATCCAACATGAAAACATTTCTGGATCAATTATGTATCAAGAGTTTCTAGAGCGAGTCAATTATTTGAGAAAGTCGTAAAAAAGGGGTTTATTTAAATGTATTTTATCTAAGTCTAATGTCCAAAGATGATAACAAATATAAAAGCAGGAAAGATACCTATTTCAGAGGCTTGAAGACATTGTTTCGCTACAGTATTTATGCATTGAGAATCACTTTAACAATTATCAAAATTGTTGGTGATTATTTTAGTAAATCAACAAATTGTTGCATATCTTGTAAAAAGTGAATTCAGGGACGAAGCTCCATCGATATCCGACAAGAAACCCCCCAAAATGTACTAAAAGTAGTGACACAGTTTAGCTTCCTGTTGGAGTTAAAGCAGATCCTCTTTTACTAAAAAAAAAACCCCTCTGTATCTCCCCCCCTCCTCCTCCCCCCTCCTCCTCCCCCCCCCCCCTCCTCCCGCTTGCCCTTTTTTTTCACTCCCTGAAAAGGCTGCCGTGGCTTTGTTTTGCTGAAAAGGAAACAGGGTCGTCCCCCACTTTTCTTTTCTTTTCTTTTCTTTTTGACCCCCTTCTCCTCCCTCTTTTTCCCAACAAGTTGAAATGGACCCGAGGAAGAGGAGGGTGAGGAAGAGGAGGGTGAAATGTAGTTTAAGTTTATGATTCTTGTCCAAACCACTATAGCTACTAAAACAGTTTCGATTTACTAAACCTGACTTTAAGCCAACAGCAATCTAAGCTTTAGATTTTTACTTATTAAACCCACGTTTTAAGCTTACTGTAACCAAAGTGGTGCTGAGAGGAGGAGGGTGAGGAAGAGGAGGAGGAGGAGGAGGAGGAGGAGGAGGAGGAGGAGGAGGAGGAGGAGGAGGAGGAGGAGGAGGAGGAGGAGGAGGAGGAGGAGGAGGAGGAGGAGGAGGAGGAGGGTGAGGGTTGAGGAGGTGGTTGTAGGGGACATAAATCAAGTGGGGAACCACAGCTTTCACTCCGGGGCGGGTCAGGAGGGGTCGACAGGCTTTGAGCTGAGGAAGACCAGAGCAGAGGGGGAGTTTAGGGAGGCGGGGGGGCGGGGGGCGGGGGGGTCACAGAAGGTGCCAGGTCAGAGGTCACACATACCAGGATGATGGCTTTCAAGAGTGTACTTAGAAAGGGACATGTATGAATGCACGCCTGCAGCCTCTCTGCGTCTCTGACTCTGGTTCAGTGCAGTTTACCCTTCTGTGTGTGTGCAGCGCTACCTGTGGAAAAAATGAGTTGTTCTGAAATGTGACTCAGTTTGCCCGTTGCCTTGTTGGTTACAACAATAGCTTTTCATTGTTTAGCAGATGGCCGAGCTGTGACAAATGACCTCATCTGTTTGAACTGCATATAGGTGTAAATCAGGACTTGAATCAATGGGATTTAACTGATCATTTAGCTAGCATGACACTACTTCTGAACTGAACAACTATCTAATAAAAAAAACATTTGAGCTTCTAAGTCTGACTTTAAGCTTCCAGTCATTTAGGTTTATGCTTTTGAAGTGAACCACTAGCTTATACAAAAACGTTTGACCTATTAAATCCACGTTTTAGCTACTTATTAACGAGACTTGGTTACAATCAAAAAACGATTTAAGTTTATGCATCTTAACCAAACGACAGCTAATAGAAACATTTAAGCTACTGAACCTGACTTTTAGCTTATGTTGTAATACCAAGGAGCACAGGATTATACAAATATCAGATACATATAAACTGCTTTTCCAGTTGCATGAGATGCCGTTTTGTCAAGACAAGATCATCCAAATGTAGTTTAAGTTGATGCTTCTTATCCAAACCACTAGATAATAAAACAGTTTAGCTTTACTGAACCTGACTTTAAGCCAACAGCAATCTAAGTTTATGCTTATTAACTGAATCACTAGCTAATAAAAAAACATTCTTCCTATTCAACCCACGCCTAAGCTTCCTGAAACCACCAAACTGATGCAAAACCATTGGTTTCCTGCGCTTCTAGCTATTATATATAACAAATTAATGACATTTTAATGCAATATGGCAGTCCTCGGCTCATTATGGACAGTTCTTTTTAAACTTGAGAAGCTTTACAGACAGGACATTGAAACAGCTTTCCTAAACTTTCTATGTGTTTCTGTTCTTCTGTTCCTCAGGTTCATCAACGCCCGGCGGCGGATCGTTCAGCCAATGATCGACCAGTCAAATAGAGCAGGTACATTTAACAGATTTAAATATTTTATATTAACTTATTGGCCTGATACCTACCTTTTTTTAACTTTGCTTTTACGATAACATCTCATATTCTGGGACACAGTGGGAATTGATTCAATAATACTTTGTTTTAATCGTTTGGAGCAATTGAGATAGGAGAGGTTTGATATTTGAGATCTGGAAAAACAACAATATATAATACTGTAAATGCTGTGATTGAAGAGTATGTTGATTAAGTCTCATAGAATCCTAGCTGACTATTCAAACATGAATACGGGTTTATCCAGATCTCTGAAACCAGGATATGATGCAGTCATTTACACATCTAATATACTCTCGACACCTAGTCATCACTTGAGAACTTGTAAACACACTTCTGCATCCTTAATTAGCAAACCTGAAATACTCCCAATCACTCCATCATAGCTTGAATACAACATGCTTGTAAACACACTCCTGCATCCTTAATATGCTAAATTAAGATACTATTAACACCTAGTCATATCTTGAGTCCTAACTGCATGTAAACACACTCCTGCATCCTTAATTAGCAAACCTAAAATACTCCAAACATGTAATCATAACTTGAATACTATAAGTGCATATAAACACACTCCTGCTTCCTTAATTGGCAAATCTAAGACACTCTTAACACCTAGTCATAACTTGAGTCCTAACTGCATGTAAACACACTTCTGTAGCCTTAATTAGCAAACCTAAAATACTCCAAAGACGTAATCAAAACTTGAATACAAAGTGCATGTAAACACACTTCTGCATCCTTAATTTGCAAACCTAAAATACTCCCAATCACTCCGTCATATCTTGAATACAAAATGCTTGTAAACACACTCCTGCAGCCTCAATTGACTACATTAAGATACTATTAACACCTAGTCATATCTTTAATACAAAATGCCTATAGTGTTTATAGGCATGTTGTATTAAAGATATGTCTAGGTGTTAATAGTATCTTCATTTTGCCAATTCAGACTGCAGTAGTCACCTTAATTTGTAAATCTAAGATACTCCAATAACTTGATTATATCTTTAAGACAAAATGCATGTAAACACACTTGCTTTTGATCAGATAAACAAACTGAAAAAGCCTCCACGGTGACCCCCCCCCCCCCCCCCCCCCCCCCCCCTCTCTCTCTGTGTCTTTTGCTCTCTTGGCTTCTCTCCCGGTGAGTTAAAGCGAACAGAGAAGCTTAAACTCCAGGATTGAAAGGCCTCTAAACCCCAGCAGGATTACCTCCAGACAAAGACGCTAATCGCTTCGACTGACCACTCCATTGAACATTTTAACCTGGGATTAAAACAAATAGCAGCCTGGCTAAAGCGGGGCTAAAGTGCCGCTAGCCTTTTGGCCCCTGAGCTTTGTTAGCTTTTACCCCGGTGCTGACTTCCACACAAAGGCATCTTCACACGGCTGAACGACGGCGAAGAGAAACTGTTACAGACTCCGAGTCCTGGGAATGTGACACAGTGTACTTTGAAAAACATCCCTCACTTCCTCTCAAGATGAAACCTTTCCCCATGAGGATGGACACATTTTATTTCAAGTTATCTCATTATTCATTAATGACAGACCCCCTCCTCCTCTTCTCCTCCCTCTAAAGATCAGATGATTAGAAAAGGGGAAATAAACGGCAGCATAAACAAGTTTAGAGAAAAGGGAGAGACTTAATGTCATAAATAACAGATATAAAACACGACTTACAGCAATTACAGAATTCAACTGTGAAACTGAAGACTTTATTTTTGTTGTTTTTAGTTCATTTCTATTTGTCTTTAGGGTTTTTTTCTATAGTCTCACGATACTTTCTTTTTTTACACTTTTTATGTATTGACTTAGACGAAGAAAGATGCCTTATCATATGCCTTAAATCACATGTGTCAAACTCAAGGCCCGGGGGCCAAATCAGGCCCTTGGTGGATTTAATTTCGGCCCACAGGATAATGTTTAATTACTATTAGATCTGGCCCGCCGGTATATTGCACGCACACCTTCACTCCATCCTGAGGATCTCCTCAGCTCAGAGCCTGACCCCAAACATTGATGAACTTGCACCCAAGATGAGATGCCAAGTATCTGGCTTGAACTAGCATCACAGAGCAAACTGAGTTTAATGGATGTTTCCTTCTGCACTTTCTTTCTCACGACAACAGGGCATGTTTGGTTTGTTCTTTGAGGGAAATAGTTTTGTTGAAGCTGTTGTTGGCCTGTGGGAAAATGTAATCATAAGAAATGACTCTGGAAAAGCTGCAGATAGAGCCATGAGAAATGAATGCAACTGATTATTTAATGTTTAATGTTGTTTTTATAGGCAATCATTTAAGCTTTGTTACAGTAGTTCCAGGTTTAACATGTGCAATAAGTTCATTTCAATACATTTTGCAATAAACATTGAACCAGTCCGGCCCTCGACTAGTACCCATTTTTTAATTTTGGCCCACCGGGGGCCAAATCCAGCCCGCGACTTCATTTTCTGTGGCCCCACAAGAGCTTGCAAAGAATATAATATGTTTATTATACGGTTACATGCTACTTTACAGAAGCACGTTGCCCATAAACTACATGTCCCACAATGCATCTCAAATTTGACTTTTTTCTCAGAATTTGACATTTCTTCAAAATATGCATTTTTTTCTCAGAATTAGATTTTTTTTTCTTCAAAATGTTACTTTTTATTTCAAAATGTCACTTCTTTTTTTTTGTTTTTCCCGAATTTTGCTTTTCTTTTCAAATTATTTTGTGACATTCTCACTGAAGAGACTTGCAATTATTTGCCCAAGACTTCTGCTTTCAGACGTAGTTAATTATGAAGTTATTACCCTATCTGATAATAATCCAATGCAGAGGCAATCATGTAATATAATACATTATTTTATATATATTAAATATTTATTTATGTATTTTTATATAGTGTTAAAGTTACAACCGGCCCTTTGAGTGCAACCATAATGTGGCCCGTGATGAAATTGAGTTTGACCCCCCTGGTTTAAGTATCGGAAGTTGTCACTGTGACCTTTTGGTCGTCGCCATGTTGTTGTGACACGAGATGGTGGAGCAGAGTCTGACACTGAAAAATAGGTTTTTAGGCAACCAAAATAAAAGTTCATTAATTGCAAAGACACAAAGTTATAGTAAGACAAAAACAGGAAGAATAACTTGGTTGTGACCTGTACATCACAAGGTAGCCCAATTTGCTGCTTAATTGTCTTTATTTACTCTAAATACAAAATGAACGTCAGGCTGTGTAAGAGAAGACTTGAAACTAGCATTTGAGACAAGCAACTCGTCAGGGAAATGTTAACTGAGGTTATGAATCAAGTGAGAAGTAGGAGGATTTTCCCAGAATTGCAAGGTTTATGAATATGATGTTTTTGAAAAAGTGTTAGTATATTAAATGATAATGTTTAAGGTGAACTAATGCAATGATTTCCAAGAGATCTTTACAATTTATGTGTAAACGTCATCTGATAATGGCCACTTGTAACCATAGCTGGTGAATTTTAGTGGTTTGTTGATGTTTTTTGTTTGTCTTTGTTAGTTTTTGTCCTTTGTTCTGGGCAAAAAGAAGCCTCACATTAGCATGTACAATAGTATTTGTTGACTGTACAATCCAAAACTCTTTGAATATTAAAGTTCTGTGATGAAAAATAAGTCAACTTAGGTTAGGGCCATCAGAAATGTCAGAAAAATCATTGTTATTTTTCTTCTTGGGAGCAGGAATATCCACTTTTAATTAAAAAAAGTTGTTTAGATATTTCACTTTCAAACACTGTCTCACTCTAACGAGAGGACGGTGTCTCAGTGTGTGAGACAGACAGCAGCTGTCACACCGTCCTCCACCTCGCAGTGTGAGTGTGATGTCATCACTGTGGGACAGCCGGCAGCCAGATAATTAAAAAGAGTAATCTCTCCCCGCCTGTCCGCAGTGAACCATGCAGGACCGTACGGCCCAGATGGTCAGCCAATGGCAGGCTTCGTTATGGACGGACAGACACACATGGGAATCAGACCACCTGGTAAACACACACACACACACACACACACACACACACACACACACACACACACACACATACACACACACACACACAGTTACACATGGAGCTGCTGTGATGCAAGTCAAATTTTAGACTTGATCTGACCATTAAAGTATTATCGTATCGTATCGTAGAGTTCATGTTTAGCACGTACCTGACATTAATGTGTTATCTCTCTCTGTGTGTGTGTGTGTGTGTGTGTGTGTGTGTGTGTGTGTGTGTGTGTGTGTGTGTGGTGTGTGTGTGTGTGTGTGTGTGTGTGTGTGTTGATGTGTGTGTGTGTGTGTGTGTGTGTGTTGTGTGTGTGTGTGTGTGTGTGTGTGTGTGTGTGTTGTGTGTGTGATGTGTTGTGTGTGTGTTGTGTTTGGTGTGTGTGTGTGTGTGTGTTGTGTGTATTGTGGTGTGTGTGTGTGTGTGTGTGTGTGTGTGTGTGTGTGTGTGTGTTCTGCAGGTGGTGTGGGGATGGGGATGGGAGTGGAGGGGCAGTGGCACTACATGTAGCTCCAGCAGCTCCTCCTGCCGCCTGAGGACACGCCCAGCGTCTGGGAAAACACCGTGAGTAACACGAGTCAGCTGGTTTTAGAGCCAAGTCGCTCACATTACACATTTTTCACCTACTTCTTTTGGTATCCATTCATACAGGTTTTCAACACCTCTAGTTATGTGATATCTAGCATCTCTCTCTCTCTCCACCCCTTTTTAAAGAGGACATATTTTGCAGATTCCTATTTGTATTTTGTATCTCTACTGTGACATGTTTACATAATGTAGGCAAGGCAAGTTTATTTATATAGCACCTTTCAACACAAGGCAATTCAAAGTGCTTTACAAAAATGAAAGACGTCAGCAGAAACACAATATAAAATGTAATTTAATGTTCAAAAAGCTCTTTATTTTTCTCTTACTGCCTGTGCTGCAGCACCTCTTTTCCCCCTCTGTCTGAAACCAGAGCCCAGTCTGCTCTGATTGGTTAGCTGGCCGGCTCTGTTGTGATTGGTTAACCGCTTAGAGATGTGTTACAAAGTGATGTCACTATGTTTATTCTAGCCTTTACAGACCATTTACATGCACAAAAACGTATATATTTATATATTTCTGGATATTGTATAGGTATTTGGATTATATTTATGATATAATGTCTACATCACTTTAATGCAATCCGTAAATATTGAGTATGTTTTTTACTGTTGCGTAGCTTGTGATTTTCATCAAGCGGTCGATAACGTTTATTTTAAAGGTGGGGTAGGTAAGTTTGAGAAACCGGCTCGAGATCGCTAGAATTTGAAAATACACAACCGGAAAAAATCTGCCACTTCCTTACAGAGCCCCTCCTCCAACACACACGTACGCGCACATGACCAATGAGGGCAAGAGATAAGTTTGTGCACAGATGGAAGGCTGACAGGCAGGTAGGCCATCCAGTTATTTTAGCCGGGCCGGCTCAGATGATTGGTCGTGCTTTTTACAGTACTACGGCTTCCACAGATGACATTTTTTTATGGATTTATTGTCAAAGCACTTAAGATATTCATTGCTATCGGGATGTTAAGAGCATTCCATGGAATATAACTCAAAGTGTATCTCGAGCCCGTTTCTCAAACTTACCTACCCCACCTTTAAGCTACTGTACAATAATTCATTCAAAAATGATTTGTTGATTTTATTTTGCATTATACATGTACATCTTCAAAGTAACTAAATCTATAAGAAACAATGTTTGAGTCCGTTATTTTTTAGAGAAATGGAAATACTCAAATAAAATACAAGTCCTGTCTAAATTGATTACCTAATGACTCTCCTGCACTACGAGAGCTAATAGAGCAGACAAAGCGCTGTAAAAACAAAACAAGACGTCATGAAATGTCTCTCCTCCTATCACAGTGCTCTGGGCTCCTCCTCGCTAATTAAAGCATTTCCATCTGATTTAAAGGTCAATTAATCCTCTGAGACCCTCTCCACATTCTGTCTAACGAACTGATCGTTAGCCAGGGACGCACAACGCTCTCATCTCTTTATTTCATTACACCGAGTCCAATTACTCCGTAAGCAGTTTTCATTATTAAGCTGCAGGAGGAGGGAGGAAAGATTAAGAGGATGCTAATGTGTGGAAAGGAAGTGGAGAGGAGTTAGAGGAGGGGGTGAGGAAGGGGTGAGGAGTTAGAGGAGGGGGTGAGGAGGAGATGAAACGTGGAAATGTGGTCAGTGAGACGGCAACATCACTCGGACCAAAGACAATTAAAGAGTCTTCAGAAGAAGCCTTCCTTTCTTCCCCGCTGCCATTACTGAGCTTATGGCTCTCGGGAAACAATACACCTGTCAGCTGAGATCTGATGCAGCCATGCATGCAGCACACACACACATACACACGCACACACACGCACACACACACACACACACACACACGCACACGCACACGCACACATACACGCACACACACACACACACGCGCACGCACACACGCACGCACGCACGCACTACAGATAGTACTACACATTGTACGGATACTACAGATAGTTTTACACATTGTACAGATACTACAGATAGTACTACACATTGTACAGATACCACAGATACTACAGATAGTACTACACAATGTACAGATACTACAGATACTACAGATAGTTTTACACATTGTACAGATACTACAGATAGTACTACACATTGTACAGATACTACAGATAGTACTACACATTGTACAGATACTACAGATAGTACTACACATTGTACAGATACTACAGATAGTACTACACATTGTACAGATACTACAGATAGTTTTACACATTTTACAGATACTACAGATAGTACTACACATTGTACAGATACTACAGATAGTTTTACACATTTTACAGATACTACAGATAGTACTACACATTGTACAGATACCACAGATACTACAGATAGTACTACACAATGTACAGACACTACAGATAGTTTTACACATTATACAGATACTACAGATACTACAGATAGTACTACAAATGTTACCGATACTAAAGAAAATGACCACTTCAACTCCATTTGTTCAGAAGGTTAACTTAGTTTTTCTTATCTTATTTATATAATCTTTACTGATTCTATCTGTTCTTAATTCATCTTATCTTGATTTGATGAGAAATGCAAGAGGGAATTGTGTTTGCTGTACATGTTTGTGGTGAACTGCATCCCTTACGACAACGCCATGAAGTGAAAAACTGAATAACATTGGAAAAAGAACAGAGTCTTGAGAATCTATTTTTCTTCCAGACTTTCCGATCAGATTTCTCATTGATTTCATCCTCCAACAAAAGATGATCCTACTCAGTTCAGTTTTTCTTTAACGTTGACTTCCTGTTGACATGTTATCCTCTGTTTCTTCTGCAGGACTCCATCAGCAGTGTCCTTGGCCAGCGTGGAGCAGGACCCCACGCTTTGTGGCATGAAAACCAAACACAAAAGAAACACTGTGGGGACAGATGGAGATACTGGAAGGGTTAATAAACACTTGTGTCCTCACTCATGACACTGGAGGATCTTTCTGCGTCAGGACATAGACTCCATCTCTCTGGATTGATTTCCTGTGATCCGACAGATGTACCCTCTCTGAACTACAGAAGCCTCGAGTGGACATTTTGACACCAGCAGAGCTTCCTCCTCTCCTCAAACAGGCCGACAGGAAGCTGATGTCTGTATTTACCGAAGCGTTCTTTCAAAGCGCGTCAACAAACTGTTTTCCAAGAGGCTGAATCTCTGATAAATGGACGGCAGAGGTCACGTGACCGGGCTGTTTACCGCGGACTCTCAGAGGACGAGAGACGCTGCTGCCTTTTTACATAATGTACTGTTTTAAAGGAAAGGACTTTCACTTTTCACACTGTGTGTGTTTGTCTTTTTTTCATAGACTTCTATCTTCCCTCGAGCCCCGCAAACCCTTTGAGTTCTAAAATAAAAAAGTGAAGCAAATTTGTTCCTGGATTCAAAGTATTTTGTTATCGGCACTAAAGTCAAACTCAACAAGTATATGTTCGTACATCTGACAGCAGAAGTTTTAAAGGGGACCTTTTATGCTGAATTTTAGGTACAGTTTTGTTTTTTGTGCTTCTTTTCACCCTCTGTCTGAAACCAGAGCCCAGTCTGCTCTGATTGGTTAGCTGGCAGGCTCTGTTGTGATTGGTAGAGATGTCCCACCCCATTACATAGGGATTTCACTATGTCCAGGAAGTAAACAAAGGAGTCCAATGGAGGCAGAGAGAAACTCTGGGATTGTAGCCTTTGCAGACCATTTACATGCACACAAACTATAACACACTATAGGAAATGGAAAACTCCAACGAGCATCATAGGCAAGGCAAGGCAAGGGAAGGCAAGTTTATTTATATAGCACCTTTCAACACAAGGCAATTCAAAGTGCTTTACAAAAAATGAAAGACATTAAGAAAATGGCATAGGGGCCCTTTAACTTTACTTTAACTCAGATAAGTACTTAAGTGCACTTTAGAGTTTTACATTTACCTGTGTATTCCTATTTCAGAACATTTGCCTCCGTTTTCCTCCTCGAATTTTACTTGACGACATTTTGTTTGACAGCAGGAGTCACAGGAGATTAAGATTTTAATTCTAATCCCAATTTTATAAAATATAAATATATATATATTTACAGTAATGCTTTAATTCACAGGTCTTTTACTTTGCCAATAACTTCCTGGACATTTCCTGGAATAAGGTTAAATGCTTTGGTAATTTAAATATAAGGGACGTTGGTACGCTGTCTCATTACAGGATTTTTGATTTTAAGAATATATTAACATGCAGATAAACACTAAACTCAAGTCACTGAGAGATGCACACTTGAAGGCCTGCATGTGATTCAGCCTCACAGATGTTGGCAGATGTTAAAGTCTGCGCCCTTCACATATTTTTGAATGCTACTAAAATCCAGAAGGACTTTTTTTCGGTTGGTTATGTGTAGGGTAAAGGAACACATTTTGAGACGTTTGAAGCTGCTTGTATCACGACTCATTGTTCTGTTTTCAATCTTAACTTCTAGATCAACTTCTAAAAACTAAAAGAAACAACGAGTGGATTGAAAACCCTTTCCTTACAATTCTCTTTTTTTATGACTTGTAGTTTATTCGACAACACAAAACTAAGTTATAGAAATCCCTAAAAATGCTATGCTAGACTTTGGACTTTTGACTGTTTGCTGCTTAAATGTTGTTTTTTTCTTCCAAACTAATATTTTTCAATTGAGATTGTTGTTACTTCACATAAAGAATTTCTTCCTGGATTCAGACATATGTAGAAAACCAACTTTTATACCTTTAAATATATATTCTGTCGTCTCACTATTGGTCACCATTTTGTTAATTTTCCATTTCTGAATGCCAACATGGCAGCTCGCTCAAACTCACCTCAAATCATCACACATGAGGAGCCGTTGGATTTCTTTTTGAGTGGAAAGAGCCAAAAAACCTTCAGCAGAACTGAGGGAAAACTAAAATTACTACTTTAATTTGTAATTTTTAAGAGCTTGAAGGGTTTCGCCAACAGCAGCTGGCTCTTTCTGGCTTCTAAAATAATTCCCACCCACCAAATCGGTCACTTCACACATGCAGACCTCAGAGAAGTGTTCTAGTCCTGCCGCTCACTCTTCCTCAGGAATTTGACTGAGGAGTTGGGGAAAACAGAGGGAGATTTTTACGTAAATCTGCTCCAAACTCTTAAATGGAGAGATTAGTTCCCCCTCACGCTCCACTTGGCCTCCTCAATGGATGTGTTTTCCCAATCCGCTGGGAGTTTCCTAGATACACCTCATTTCAAAGCTGGCGGCCACAAAGAAGATCATTTATCTTCCTCTTAAAATCAATTACTTGAATTAATTCGGAGCAGGCAGTAGAGGAGAGCAGATGTTCAGCCTCCTGCAGCAAACATAACTTCCTCAGATGCTCTTTGTGACTTCTAACCATCTTGAGAGTATTTTTTAAGGAGAAAACATGAGATTTAAAGCAAACATGCGTCCTCAGAGCTCCCTGTGCTTCTCTCTGTGAGCTGAGTGACAGGCGGCAGATTCAACTCCCATGTTTGACTGCCCTCTTTAGGGGATCGTGCAAACTGCCTTCATCTCTGTTTTTTAAAGCGAAGTGTGTGATTAGCCAGTCAGAATCAAACGTACGTCGCTTAAAAAATGCAAAAACAAATATGAGATACAAAAAAAGGAACTACATGTGGAAGTCTCTGGAGATGGTGGCTTGTGTGACAACAACTTGGCGGCAGCAAAAATAAATAACAGGACATTTTATTTTATTTTAATTACGTTAAATGTAGAGCTGTCATGTCCCACAGATTACACAGAGAGTGAATGCAGCGTGTGCACATGCAGGACATTTATTACAGTTAATACTATAACTGCAGTTTATAAACAAAAAAATTATAATTATATATATATATATAATATTTGAGAATATTAAATGTGAATATTGTCACGATTTCTAACCGGTTTGTCTGTTTTTAATGGGGTAACATGTACATTTTGGCTTAGTGCCATATTTACTCTATTGATAAGCATTGGAGTTCAAAATAATTTTTACATTAACTCAAGTACCGTACTTAAGTCCACATTTAAGGTTTCTTTATATATTTATTTCCAAGCTATAGTTACATGGTACATCAGGGGTGTGTGCAAACATTTTTCACTGAGGGCGGCATACAGAAAAATATATGAAAGGCCACTCAATAGAGGCGAGTTACTGTATATTGCCTCATAAATTAAGTTATACTGTAAGTGGGGACGGACTGACGGGACAATTAGGGGAAATAGGAAGGTTATATTTCAAGCCTGTTATACTAATAAGTTATTGGGCTTTTTTTTGTCAACTAAGATTTGTTAGAAAATGTTACGTAGAAGTACAATTTAAGACAAGCACAAGTTTCATGTGTGGGCCATATTCAATTATATTGTAATTTTATAATGTACTGCGGGCCAATTCAAAATGGACCACGGGCCGCAGTTTGGACACCCCTGTGGTATATTCAAGATTAAGCATTTACAGGTAAAAACACAATTTGTGAAGTAATTTTATAAAATAAGATGAATTGTTATAGAAAACAAGCAAAAAGTATAAAACTAGCTCCAGACTGACAACCTTACAATCTCCTTTACATGACATAAAATATATCCAAAGTCAATGGTTTTGTCAATTATCAAGTAGATTACATATATGTCGACTACCAAATGTATTAATAAGAATAATCAACACTTCATACAACAATAACAGTTACAATTTTGGTTTAAGGGATTGTACAGACAGTATGTAGACTTTTGCCCCTGCACTGACCACCAATTTTGTGGGAAACCCCTTATATATTTCATTAATTAATGAGCTCTTTTTAAATGAATGAATGCATGATTAAATACTTTATTTGTCTTGCACAAAGAGCATTAAAAAGTATCAAAAGTATGTCTAAAATCTAACATGACAGCACATAATACACCAACAAACCTTTTTTTCTAAGCATAGTTGAGGACATCACATGCAAGTAAGTATGACTAAAGGGAAGTCAGTGTTATGTTATGAGTGTGAGTAATGGTGTGTGTGTGTGTGTGTGTGTGTGTGTGTGTGTGTGTGTGTGTGTTTGTGTGTGTGTTTGTGTGCGTGTGTGCGTGTGTGCGTGCGTGCGTGCGTGCGTGCGTGCGTGCGTGCGTGCGTGCGTGCGTGCGTGCGTGCGTGCGTGCGTGCGTGCGTGCGTGTGTTCTCTCAGCAGGAAAGTATGCAGCAGATTGCTCAGATGGTGATAAATTGGTCCCGAGGAGATGACCCCCTCTGGCTGCAGGCGGAGGTAACGAGGTTTATCTAAACAAACCCACTCCTAATTTGGACTCGAGGAACAAACGTTAGTCTGAGCAGACCTCAAATTCCAGGGAGACATTAATCTGCCTCCTCCAGGTCTGGACCTGTGACCTGAGGGTCCATCAATACTCAGATCTGTGGGATCCAGCAGCAGCGAACACAAAGTTGGATAATTTATCGCCTTTAATTAAATGCTTGCTTCAGGAGGGATTAAATGTGTTTCCTCCATGTGCGGGGCAAACAGGGGAAGGTGTTCGGTGTCGGACAGAGGATCCAGAGACTCGGGGAGGATCATGGTTACCTCCAGAGAGGAAGTGGAGGAGGTGAGGGGGAGGAGGTGAGGTGGGGGAGATGAGGAGACGAGGAGGGGGGGTCAGTTTACCCTGACAGGAGACCTGGAGGAGAGGAAACAATCATCATGTGTTCACCTGAACATGCAGGTCATTCACAGACGATGTTGTCCACAGAGGTTACATTAGGAGCAGAGGTAGAGGTTAAACTGAAAGGTTGAAATGTTCCTTTACTTGCTGAGAAAATTCTCTTCCACTTTAAGATAAATAAACAATGTTTAAACCTTCGCGGATCAGCTGGAAATGTCACAAAGCTGAAAACAGGGCTGCTTTTTCTCAGAAACTCATGAAAAGTTGACATTTCTCATAGGAAAGCAACAAGCTCGCTAGCCGGAATAGCAGCAGTCTTAACGCTTGCTAAAGTTAGCATCACCTGACGATAGCTTGCTTGATTCAGTCCTGATGTTAACGCTAAATACGTTACATTAAACTAACTTAATCAAGTTGACCATGTTATCTCCATCTATAAAATGTTTTGTTTATGAAAATACAATTTGAATGCATTACAAATACCTTTTTTTTTTAAAGTCACTGTAACAAGAAAAGATGGCAGATGAACTGCACGTGAAAAAAATCTAAAATCTTGAAAAGGCATTGACGTTAGACGCACACTGCTAATGGAAACCTTATCGATTTGCTTTCACTCATAAAAGAATAGCAAGTCAAGTCAACAAACTATAATTTCACATTGAT